CTACACAAGTTAGGAGATGGACTACGAGAGCTACGGGAAATACTGAAAGAGCAAATCATGGTCTTTGGCAGAAAATAAAGTTAATTTTGAATTTGAGCTCTCTCCCATTTTAATATAAGAAGAAAACCAATCCAAAGGATTAGCAATATCTCAAAGTATTTTTTAAGTGGATTCCCAAAGAAACCACATATTTACAGATAAAAAGAGAAGGACATGTGGGTGGCTCAGTCAGTTAGGTTCTGTCTTCCACTCAGGTCATGATCCATCCTGGGATCTAGACCTGCTTCCTGCTCCGTGCACAACGGGGATTCTGCTTCTCCCTCTGCCCTACTGTCTCTCTCTCTCTCTCTCACTTTCAAGTCAATAATATCCTAAAAAAGAGAAGAAAATCCAAATCTGACCTTCAGGCACTCTTGTGTGAGTGGCATGGAAGCGCATGCGTGTCTGTGAGCCATTCCGGCACAGCTCAGGACCACAGGGGCACCCAGTGAATAACAAAGCCTTGGGACAAAGTTGTCTCCCAGCTGCCTGGGTTGTCCCACTTCACTGGCTCTTCATGGGGAATGCAGGATCCACGCGTACATACACCCCTCACGCAGAAATCACGGCAAGTCTCACAGGAGCAATCTCACATTTAATTCAGACAAAGCTTAAAGTGGCATCTACATAAATGAACATGCTTCTGAGCAGAACTGTAAGAATTGAGAGCCATATTGCTCTTAAACAATAAACCACATTTTCTTTATTATTCTGCAATAATCCACCATGCTGTAAATTACCCAAAGCCCAAGACCTGGATGCACAAATTCTTAGAGCCAATATAGAGAACACTTACTATCTTTCCATATGAACCCACTCCCCCCACTAACACACACACACACACACACACACACACACACACACCTTTTTGCTGTTGTACAAAATTCATGTCTAATGGCCAGAAAATGTTATTACATTTCACAGCTTTAACTGGCAGTAGCCCTCAGGAGTAGATGGGAAGCTCAGACTCCTGACCTTCAGGTCCAATCCCTAAATTCGAAAACAGAAAGAGAGATCCTGTTGTTGGTACACAGCCCCTCGAGCCCTGGCCCAGCTGGGTGATGAGGGGTGGGGTGTGGAGGGGAAGTCAAGGGTTGAGAGGGTTTTCCCAGCTCTGCTCTGCAAGGGGATCCCCAAGAGCGACCAAGGGACCCAGAAACCCCTGACCCCCAGCCCCAAAGGAGACAGTCGCAGGAGCGAATGCTCTGCCCTAGAGAAGTAGAGTGGGGACCCTTTAGAGCTCTCTACCCAACTCCGGGTCTCTACTATTCTAAACAGTTATGGGTTCCAAGGACACCGAGTTCCCTCTAGGGAGAAATCAGCCTCAAGCTCCAATGCTGGAGACCTGCCCTACACCCCAACACTCAGGAGTAGAGGCCAAAGGTGGAGACACTTCTGAATGTAGGGGTGTGCATTTTGCAGGACACGAGAAGAGAGCACTGTTGAGCCATTGAACATTCCTTACATCTAGAAAACAAGCATCTAGGGGGACTCTTGCCTGTGGGTCTTGACCCTGTCACTCATCACACAACAAGATAA